GTTAGGGCGGCTAGGAGCTGGAACCAACTTCCAAGGGAAGTGGTGCTGGCCCCTACCCTGGGGGTCTTTAAGAAGAGGCTGGATGCCTACCTGGCTGGACTCGTTTGAGTCCCATTTCTCTTTTTGGGGTTTTTTGTTGTTCTCCCGCCCTGGCGGGGGGTCGGGCTAGAAGATCTACTAGGTCCCTTCCGACCCTTAATCTATGAATCTATGAATCTATGAATAATCTATGAATAAGTATGTGTCTACACCAGATTTGAGAAATGGTTTGCTAGCCACCCACGGGAACAGGGGAAATAAGAAAGCACCTTTCAGTACAAGACACACAATGGTGGAGGGTGGGGTGAGGAGGGAAAATTCAGTACACAGAAGGTGAGCATCCACTGGGACTGCACATGAGGTGGAACAGCAGCATCCCACAGTGAAACTACAGTCTCCAGTGGATTTACTAATGCTTGGTTCCTAAGATATGTTCAGCTGTGTAGTACTGGGAAAGTTTCAACCAGTGCTTGGTTTGCTACAAAACGCAACTTGGTTGTTAATTGTGGTAAAGAGCCTGAAAATCACAGAGAGAGAGAGAGAGAGAGAGAGAGATAGAATAATAAAAAGGAAGCTTATAGTCACAACCAACAGCTGAAGTAACAGGGGTGTTGACAACTTCATCTAATTTTCAACTTGCCTACTGAAGTCCAATAGAATACTTCTGCCAAGTGATGTAGTTCAATAAAAATGGAAATAATGGAAATGTATTCTATTATAAACAGCTTGAAGATGAGAGCAGTCAAAAACAGTAGCAATTTATAACAATCTAGTATTATGTAAGGTGTAACAGGACAGCACTGATGGCCTCGGGTGAGTAATAAGACATGGCTAACTGTTTATGAGCTCAATTCTGTTCTTGTCCAAGTTAATGGGAAGGCATCCACTGCCTTCAGTGAGAAATGGATCAATCCCCTTGTGCCCACAATTTAAAAAGGCAATGGAAAAGGTGAGAGAGATATTTAAGAATTCCAGCTTTCTACAGGGTGTCTTACTCCTCTGAAAATATTCTATCAGAGATCATTTACAGCATATGTGTTTTTAAATATGTCTTCTGTGTATGCAGAAACAATTACAACTGCAATTTACCAACTTTAAGCCTAAGAGTTTTGACAGCTTAAAATGCTGTCTTTTTTTTAAAGCCTTTAAAAAATTCCATGCAACTCTTTTACCAGTTTTAGAGACAGAGGATATTTCTAAGCACAGAATATGCCTGCATGTTGTAGGAACATCACATTCTGCTAACTCTGTACAAGCAGTAGCCCCCATAGCATTGATAACACTCTGAAAATGATCAAGAAAACTGATTGGCATGCATAAAATCAAGGAAAGGCCTTCATCATTAATTTCTTTAAAAAACACTGCTTTTCTTTTCTACCTGAGGCACGGCTCCCCTTATCCAGAGAGGGATCAACTAGGACAAAAGGCCATTAATCCCTGTCCTCTGAGACATTCTTTAAATCCTCCTCTTGGATAACAGAAGTGCAGGCAGAAATCCCCAGCCTTTCAGTGCGATCACTTTGGACTGACAGATAAGAGTATAATTTTATTACCACAAAGGGTAAATCGCTTCCTATGCTCTGTATTCATATGAAATCAGTGCTTTTGCTACTCCAAACAAACAATTCATTGCTTGCTACTGTTGTTTACTATTGTAATGAGAAAGAAACCTTGGTGAAAGAAATGACACCACTACTCCCTTCCCCCCCCTTTCCTTTGTGGTGGCACAATTATCTACGTTATTTTTAGACAATGGTAAATAGAAATGTTGATTACTAATTTAACACCTGTCATGCCAGATCCTCACTGGTGTAAATTACTGTAGGCAATGAACCCAGTTGATTTATAACAGCTGAGAATTAGGTCTACATTTCAGAAAGGAGGCTACCGTATTTTCACTCACTAACTACAAAAACACTAATGTGCACCTTTTGTGTTTCACTTAAGAGGCGATATATTCATGGGGTAGGTCCTACTAAAGCTATTGCTATAAGCTGTTGATCTGACCTAATAGATGTTTTGGGGTTTTTTTTTCTTTAAATTAAGCTTTTTTTTTAAAGTGCTTGTGGAATTGGGCCTTAAGAATCAGCCAACTGAGTGACAGAAGCACAAATATACGAACACACATATCTATAAGAAAACTCACCACTGTTAGAAGCATCATTGAGATTTAGCAGCCCACTTCCTAACCCTCTGTAACTATGGTAACTGTAGGTCCCATTTCCGTTGATGTACAACACCTCCTGTGTGCTGGAAACAGCCGATGTTGAGTAAGTGACCTGGGCTGGCTCTTGTTTATATTGTTTGTCAGCTGGGGCAGTCTCATCCTGAAAAAAACAATATTTCATTGTAAGGCACCAAATTATTTATTGCGTTACAACTTGAACCAGAGGGGCTTTTTAATGTTGTTTATAAATTCCGTGCATGGCTTCCACAATGGGATAATAAACACAGAACAAGAACATACATGTTTGCAATTGACAGATTTCCACCTGAAAAGAAATAAGAATAGCTTGGGACCCAGATTTCCCACATGCACTATTATTATTTATTTCTTTGTGTTGTGCTTGAACACCCAAATGTGTTCAGCACCATCCAAACACACAAGATGTGGTCATTATCCTAAGGTACTTGAAATCTTCCTCAAAACTGAATTCCAAAAAACCCCCAAAACTGGAAGGAACTGGGAGCAAGTGACTGCTCTCTGGTATTAAAAAAATTACCCTCCTGATGCAAAGAATCAGTTTTTCCTGATATAACAACCACTATAAAATGCATTGATATATTCCATAGATGCATCAGCATTATGGATGCTTGGTAACAGCAGGGTAAAAATGTAATTACTGTATGTCTGGCATGTTGCGAGAAACTATGCAAAGGGCTGTTACTGCCCCTACACAAATGGGCCAGCAGAATGAGCAGCATCAGCAAAAATAAATATATAGATATATGACTATATAATCTGCTTATGGAACAAACCAATCTTTGTGCAGTAGGACACTGCAAAGTAAACAATTCCTCTTTCATTGAGGGCTAAACTACTGTGATTTAGTATTCATTTACTGTGGGCTGGTAAGAGAACCTGCTGGAGGTACTCTCTTCTCCTGATGGTTAAAGCAAGATATGGGCATGAGCAAATGAGCTGACCAGTTTAGCAAGCACACCTTGTATAGAAGGCACACCTTGTGCCCATTCCTTCATGGGTAGCTCCATATGGCTGTTTTTAAAATCATTCCAGCATTCTCTGTCAGTAACTCATCTGGGCTCAATAGTATGCTACAGCTTTTGTACCATACAGTCCCCTCATACTACCTGTCTAAGGGGGACTGGAGTGGCAGAGGTGCTAAGGCACATGGTTGACAGAGATTACAAATTTGAGGCCATAGTAGAAGTACTCATGGTGCAACCTGTCAGATTCCAATGAATCTGCAAATTCTGCTTAATACCCTGACACAAGGAGAGGAAAAGGAAGGAACTGTCTACCTCTTAAGTACTTTTGCATGAGGATGGGCAGGATTTAGCCTGGGGACTCTCAAACTTTTGCATAGTATGATCACATATAGCTAGAGAGATTGTCTTGCACTACCTGTCCACTCATTTACTGTTACATGGACCACCTCTCACCATTTGTGACCACAGAACATTCCTACAGCAGTAAGAGCAATTATTTACATAGGAAAGTTACAGTGGAAATATCTGATGCTGGGAAAAAGGAGAACTAGCACCATGTTACCAGATAGCTCCTTCATAGACCATTGTGCGAGAAACTCTGATTTAGTTTCTATTTGGCACTTATTTTTTTTAAAGCCCTTATGTACCTTTTCGTTTCTCTTTTCTTCTCAGTCTAATTATGGCTCCACCATTCTGGATGTGTAACACTTAACTCCTTGGGTAGTCTAGCTGATTTTTGTGAGCTAGTAAAGATACCTGAACTAGCCCTCTGTGACTAAGATGACAGTATACATCTGCAGAGTACTTCACACAAATTCAGCTGCGACTGCTGTATTTCAGTAGGGTTCAGGAATAATTTGAATGACTAACACACATGGTTTCTGATTTTATATACTAGTTGCATTGTAAGTTATTTAGAAGCAAAGACTATGGGTCAGATTCTATTCCACCTACTGAACTTCTAGGTGGACTTAAAGACTTAAGGGCAAATCTATTCCACCCTGTACAAGCTGCCAAAAATCTATATTGCAGCTACTTTTGTAACATGCTTTTCTACCAATCTTACCCTTAAGACTGAGTCAAGAAAAAGCAATGAGGAGGACTTATCTATCTTTTGCATTAATGGTTTTTTCAGGCTCAAGCAGAGTGGAATAGGATCACACATAGGCCCCTAATAGGTAGAAAAGAATCTGACCCTACCTGCATCTAACGCAGGGGTGAGCAAAATGTGGCCTGTGGGCCGGATGCGGCCCGCCAGCCCATTCTATCCAGCTTGCGGGCCCCTAAAAAATTTAGAAAATTAATATTTATCTTCCTCTGGCTGCCTGACATGTGGCCCTTGATGCCTTGCCAAAACTCAGTAAGCGGCCCTCCGCCCAAAATAACTGCCCACCCCTGGTCTATCATGTACCATGAAGGAATCCTGGTCTCTGAGTTTCTTTAGGCACTAATTAGATACGAATCAGTAATAATTAGGATAATTTCCTGATACAGATTCAGTGAAATATATTTCAATATCTGAAAAAATAATGGATTCATGGAAAGACATGCCTGTTAAGTACACAAGCCAGATCTAATGTGCAAACATTTTCAGAGTGGTTAATGGGGATGAACTGGCATCTGGTAGTGAAAACTTCTCCCCGTGTAATAATTCGTTCAATTTATCCCACTTCTGTATCATTTTATTATGTTTACTACAATGGTGAATTAAAGTGAATTTGATTAAATGTCCTG